CAAATGGAACATTTGCTCCTTCAGAATATGTATGAATCCACATGGTTCCAAATGCCTCTTTAATACCTTCCACTGTTTTTCTGTGGGTTTCCCTATTAATAGCTTATCCCATTTTAGCATGTTCAGCCTACCTCACAAAGAACAAACAACAATACAGCACAGGAATAGGCTCTTTGGTCCTCCAAGCCTGGGCCAATACATTTTGCCCTTCCATACTAAAACTGTCTTCACTTACAGGATCTGTATCCCGCCATTCCCTTTCTATTCCTGTATTCGTCCAGGTGCTTCTTCAATGCTGCTATTGTGTCTGCTTCCACCACCTCCTCTGGCAACGTGTTCTAAGCACTCACCACTCTTTGCATGAAAAACTTGCCTTGTACATCTCTTTTAAACTTCCCACCCCCTGCATCTTGACCTGTGTCCCCTAGTAATTGACCTTTCCATCCTGGGAAAAAGCTTCATACTTTCCACTCTATCCATGCCATTCACAATCTTATAAACTTCTATTAGGTTGCCCCTCAACCTCCTGCATTCCAGTGAAAACAAATCCAGTCTAGCCAACCTTCCTTCACCGCCAAAATTCCCCATATCAGGCAACATTCCGGTAAACCATTTCTTTACCCTCTATAAAACATCCACATCCTCATAGAGTAGTGACCAGAAATGTATGCAATATTCTAAGTGTGGCCTAACTAACCTAAAGTTCTATAAAGCTGCAGCATAACTTGCCTACCCTTATACTCAATGCCCTTTCCAATGAAGGCAAGCATGCCATAAGCCTTTTCCACTACCTTATCTACCTGTGCTGCCACCTTTAGTGATCTGTGGACCCGCACAACCAGATCCCTCTGCATATAAGTGCTCCCAAATGTTCTGCCATTCACTGTATAATTTCCACCGTACTTGACCTTCCAAAATGCATCACCTCACATTTATCCAGATTAAATGCCATCTGTCATTTTCTGCTCATGCCCCCAATTGATCTATATCCCGCTGTATCCTCTGACACTTCTCCTCACTATTCGCAACTCCACCAATCTTTGTATCATCCACAAACTTACTAATTAGACCAAACACATTTTCTTTCAAATCATTTATGTAGACCACAAACAGCAGAGGTCCCAGCACTGATACTTGTGGAACACCACTGATCACCACCATCCATTCCAAAAAGCATCCTTCCACTGCTACTCTCTGTCTCCTAAGATTGAGCCAGTTCTGTATCCATCTTGCCAGCTGACTCCTTTTATGTGGCTTCACCTTTTGTATCAGTCTGCCATGAGGCACCTTGTCAAAGGCTTTACTGAAATCCATGTAGACAACTTCAACCACTTTTCCCTTATCAATCATCTTTGTCACCTCCTCGAGAAAACTCAATCAACTTAGTGAGGCACGACCTCCCCTGCACAAAACCATGTTGTCCATCATTAATAAGTCCATTTGCAACTAAATGTGTATAGATCTTGTCCCTGAGACTCTTTTCCAATAATTTCCCGACCACCGTTTTGAGGCTCACAGGCTTGTAATTTCCTGGATTATCCTTTCCACCCTTCTTAAAAAAATGGGACAATATTGGCTATTGTCCAGTCCTCTGGGAGCTCACCTGTGGCCAAAATGGATACAAAGAGGTCTGTCAATGCTCCCGCACTTTGTTCTCTTTCCTCCGTCAATATTCTGGAGTAGATCCCATCAGGACCCGAGGACTTATCTACCTTAATACTATTTTAGGTGCACAACACCTCTTCCTTTTAAATAGCAATTTGACTTAAGACTTTGACATTCCCTTCCCTGAGATCATCCTCCACCAATTTCTTCTCTTTGGAGAATACTGACACAAGGTATTCAGTTAGGACCTCACCTACCTCTTCTGGCTCCACACATAGATTCCCTCCTTTGTCCTTGTGTGGGCCAAACCTTTCCCTGGCTACCCTCTTGTTTTTTATATATGTATGCTATTACTATTAAATGAGGCCCAGTCACAAAATTTAGATGGACCACTGAACAATACCAGGCACCAATGGAGTGGGTGACCATTTTTTTTCATTTCTCACTCCCCGTTCTCGCTTTATGGGCTCAAAGGTAATCACTGTAAAAGCTCATAAAGATTATTAAATGAAATCCAACTCTGTATCTGAGGTGAAGCAGTGCAGCATTGTCTGAAATGTTACCTTTTGGATGAGATGTTAAACCGAGATCACTGGCTGGGATTTCACATGGAGGAGAAATGTAGGAGTTGGTACAGAAAACAAAACCCAACTTGTTTATGAAATGCAATCAAAGATTTTAAATGCCTTCATGTGGTTAATCTGCTATAAAAAGAAGATGGAATCTTCCCCACTCTTGAATGGCATGGGTAGTGGTGAGTCACCTGGGAAAATAGGCTGTGATTAGCAATAGTGAGATTCTTGACAGTGAAAGAAAGACTCCAATTCTGCAACCAGCTTTTGAATGAGGAGATGAGAATGGTGAATGTCAAGAGGCCAATTTGCATGCATTTACATGCAAGTAATACCTAATTTCACCTTATTGATGTGCATTTTCTTATTCTTCCATGAGCCAAAGAGAAACCAGATGGTGATAATTCCTGACAAGAAAGCCAGAGCAAGTGCCTGGTGCTGTTTACTTCCCTGGTGTTCAATCTTGGACAGCAATCACCAACATCTTAGGCCACACTCTACGGGCAGTCACTGCCTCAAAATAGTCCATGAATACTGGCATTGGACATGTGACAACCTCACCGCATCACGATGGCATGTCTCTGATCCAGTTACATTACATGCTACACTTAGTAATGCTGCTGCCAGGATACTTGTGTGAAGGGACAGGTACTATCTCATGGATTTGACCAAGGCATCTCAGGGCTCCTCGCTCTCTTAGCACTCACTCATTTTATGCCTACTTGGATGCTTATAGGCAGCTCAGGAAATTTGCCATGTCCATACGGTTCTTCACCAACTTCTACAAATGCACCATTGAAAGCATACTGTCCGGGTGCATAACTGTCTGGTACGGCAACTGCTCCGCCCAGGACCGTAAGAAACTACAGAAGGTGGTGTGCATGGCCCAGACCATCACGGAAGTCAACCTTCCATCTATGGACTCTATTTACATAGCTCATTGCCGCGGAAAGGCTTCCAACATCATCAAAGACCCATCGTACCCCGGTAAAGATCTCCTACAACCTCTTCCATCAGGCAGAAGATACAGAAGCCTGAACACATGTACCAGCAGGTTCAGGAACAGCTTCTTCCCAGCCATTATGAGACAGATGAATGGGATCTCTAGCCTCAAATAACGTTGATCTTGCTAACATTGATCTCAACTAGCGCACGCCCTGTGCAATGTAACGTGTATACCGCTGTCTAAGTCTTTTTCATCTGTACATCCTTTGCTTACTATGATCTGCCTGTACCGCTCATAAACAAAGCTTTTCACTGCATTTTGATACAAGTGACAATAAATCAATTAATCAATCAATCAATATAGCATATCTGCCTTGCCTTGCTTTGCCGTTTTGCACTTTGCCCTTTCAGTCATTCTTAAAGGCTTACAATACTTCGGTATTGCCTTTCCTTTAAGAACAGGCACAATGCCAGGCAGCTTGTCATGATTGTCAGCAGTGTCAGTGAAGTGCGTGCACATGTTGCTCCAAGACACTGCGTTATGTCACAATTATAGCTGCAACATGTGTCAGCAGCTTACGTGGCAAACACACTGCGTGAATTTCAACCAAATAGCAATAACTGAATGTCGAAATGACTCTTCATTGAAGTTTGAGTGTCTGTAAGGGTATTGCTGGGATAAGAGGGACTCTTTCTGATGCTTGTAATGTGATTGTTTGAACAGTTCTTGATTAGTGCAATTTAGTTCATGCTTCTGTTCTGTGCAAAAAAATCTTCTTTGTTTTTTTTAAAAGTACATTGATCACCAGGTTTCATTCTGGGTTCTGACTTGATTACTGTTGCCATTAACTAGGAACATAACACATGTATATCTTTTCTACAATAAAGAGACCAAACATCCTATAGTACTCCAAACGTAGTCTCATCAAGGTTCTATACATTTGCAGTAAGTTATCTTTTGGTCTTTTACTCAAATCCTGGTGGCTTGGATGTCCTCTTACCAACAGCTATCAGCAGCCATTTCTATACCAATATATTTCAAAATATCCAGAGGATGTGGAAACAACAATATGTCCAATACTCAGCTGCTGTGGAACTGGGCACAGGTGAACTGAAAATGTTTGGCTGGAATTATTCACCTACCATTTGTTCAATAATTAAAATAATCAACAGACTCTGACTCTCAGAAATCATTCCCCAGCAATATGCTGGATCAATATGTTGAAACATTACTCTTTATACAGCTCCTGGTATTGCCTTCTCTTCATCTGTTCCATTTTGGATGAACAATTAGTTTCCTTCAACAAACACTCAAAACAGTTCTGTGAAGGTGAGAAAATGCTTATCCTTGAGTAAATTACTCAAATTAGATAGGTGGCAGAGGTGGAGTGTTAACTTAAAGTTGTGCAGAATGTCAGAATTAAGTTCTTTTAAGTTTATCAATTATCAATCGGTTTTGTGTGATCAGATTAAAAACATCTTGCTTAACAGGAAATACATGATAACTAAAAGTGTAGAGAACAGTCAACAACTGAAGGAGAATATCAGATTAACTAATTCTGGTGAAGGGCCCCATTCAATATGATAAACTGATATTTTGGATTTTCATAGTCCCACTGTGGTTTCCATCAGTTACAGTTCTTATTTCAGATTTATAATTTCAGCATTCACAATTTGCATCTTGACATCAGCTTGGCTATCATTTGCATTTTTTGAAATAGACCCCAAGCAAATAAAACCAACCATTGAAAACCTTGAAATTCAAACACATTGCAGTTTTCAAAATTCAAGTTCTGACCTTGGCAATGCTACACAATGGGGGAAGATTGCATATTGAGGTTTTTCTTATACAGTGAAGCAGAGAGATATGTTACTTACACATTAGTCTTTGGAAGCACTCTGGCTTTTTGTCCCAGACCACAAACAAATAGTACGCAGGAATACCAGTCAGAGTGATGATAAATCCTATGCCAGTGTTGATGGGATCAGAATACAGTGACAGTGCCACTATGAAGAGACAGGTGAAGGCAAAGAAAGCTGGGACAAACAAAGGCACCTGAAACAACAAAGAGAAATGATTGAGACGTAAATGGACACATTTTCACATTCTCTGCCCAGACAATGAGTTGAGAGCAGATGTTCCGCTCATTCTAAATTCAGAAATCACATGACACCAGGTTATACTCCAACAGGTCTAAATTCCAATTGGATGAAAATCCAGTGGGTTGTCTAAAAGAGAGGTCTGCACTGTCAGAATGCCACACAGGTGGTGAAAGTGAATTGACTTTTAGTTCATTCCATTCACAGTCAAAAGTCAGTTTAGTAAACTCAGTAGCTTTTATTTGAGTATTCCATTTAACAACTAACATTTAAGTGCCAATTAAGAGTAAATTTCTTCATACAATTATACAATGCTACAACATCGGAAAATACACTTGTACTCATGAACTCTGACTTGGTATTTACAGGTTTATTTCTCTATTTTCATTAATAGGGGCACTAAAAATTCATACACCCAGTAGAGACTTTTGGTCACTGGAAATAAATATCCATAATTAAGGAATATGTTGGCCATAATATTTTGATTGATTTTAATCAAAGATATGCTTTGTTATTAGTTACAGTTTAATGATGCTTTGCAAATCACTTTTAAGAGCAAGATACAGAGTGAATGCATAACAGAGAAAAATTTAAGCAAGTAAACAAGTTAAGTACTGAAAGAGGGTGTGAGAGTGGGAGGGAGTGTATATAATATAAGAGTGAATAGAATAAATAAGAAAGTGACTGGAATAAAAAGTGTTGAACCAGCTGAGAGAAACGGTGAATTAATGGTTGCAGCACAATTAAATTCCCAGCCCAGAAACAGGCCAACGTGCAGGTTGCACTTACACACCGTACTCTAACCTTAATGTCACCGAACATTGAAATTTGAGAAACAGAAACAGACAGCATCATTAAGACCATAAGTGAGGTAGAGAAAATGGCTTAAATAGAAAGGGTGTTTCACAAGGTTTTGACCTTGTGTAAAGTGGATCATTGTGAATTGGCAGCCTATTTTAAGCACCTGAGCTTTAGTTTAGGTTTCAATTGAAAGCAAAATTGTGCGTTTTACACTATTGTCTATTCACATTTCTCACATAGCCAAAAATATTGTCCAGTATATCAAAGGAGTGTGTGTAAGAATAAGACTGCTAAATGCAAAAGCCAGTTACAAGGGTAGACAGACAGGCAAAAAGCTTTAATTTGGAAGGAGATCAACTCCATGTTTAGTGTATTTAGTGTTTTATTTCTAAAAATTATTGCTCTGCACTCCATTGTTTCACCACACCAGGTCTGGTAAATTATTCAATTCAACTTCCTATGGCTGTAGCAATACTGGGAGCTGGAGAATCATAAATTCCATCTCATTGCCATCATTCCATTTGTGTAAAATGATGAACATCCAGCAAATCCATTGATGATGTGACAGTTTCAAATTGTCCCCAATTATACAACAATTGCTGTCCTAGTGGGGTTGTAAAGGCATGGAACCCTTAGATTTTCAGGGCTATTTAAAATTTCAGCTAATTTCCACTCGCGGTCAGCTTCTGTCTCACTGTTCTTCTACACAGTGACTTTAAATCTAATACATATTTATGTTTATATTGTGATGCAATGACTGTGAATGACTTATAGATTGTGCTAACTATTTCCCGTTGTTCAAGTGCTCATGGTAAATTCAATATGCCACAATTAAACATACAATTGGAACTGAAAGTGCACTGACTTATAAGATTTGCATTGAAACAGTACCTTCCATATAGTGGAGATACAATGGAACATACTGTGCAGTATGTTTAAAAAAATGTTTTTCAATGAAGACAATGGTAAACCGTATGGTTTTTGGAGGGCGATAAACTACTTAAATTCTGCTCTCATGGCTTATGATGTCATTTGAACCTCTTGCCATGTTCTTGCCGTTCAATATATTCATAACAACCTGATAGCCCAGATCCATAAAACAGTCTGTATAAGCATGATTAAGTCAGCTCAGGCATGGATCATTTCAATGTAATCTGAATGAAGGCTTTGTTAGATTGCTGCAGTGCTCACAATCATGAGGCAAAGGTCATGAATAAAATATGTAAAGTGAGTGATACTTGAATTTAAAGAAAAACATAGATCGTAATTGCAATCAGGCAAATTGGTCCTGTGGTATTTTATAAGATCATCTAGGGTAGCAGTGGGGGAGAGAAAATGTGTTTTCATAGGAACACTGCCAGACACGGGTATGTGCAAAACGGGTGGCCCAAAATGAATGCAGATTTTGTTCTGAGGATGACTAATTAGTCCAGTAATAGTTCCAAAGAGTTTTACTTATGGGTCTGGTAGCATGGGGCTCACATGAATCATGGGTCCTAGGTCAACCGCCATCAGCGACCAGCATTTGTATCTTTTAAAATCTTATTCTGAATGTAGCTGTTCTTCACTTATTTCCTAGCAATTGGTGGACCATTTTCACCACTTGACCTTGTTTTCAAAAACAAAGGATATGTACAACTAGAAATAATAAATTTTACTTTTCCTTTAAAGAGAGTAATCAGTCTCCTTCATCAACTTAGATAGATGCAATAAATAATAATTAATGAATTAAATCAACTATTCACTGCTAGCAGTCTCACTTCTGAAAAAGCGCAATAAGTTACCCTTGCAGGAAGGAAAGCAGTCTGCGTAATTTATTGGACTGTGAGCAACACGTTAGCTTGCATACAAAATAAATCAATAAACATAAATATGTAATGTAATGCAATATGTGATGTTATTATTTTTAATGCCCTGAAGTTGAGTATGATTTTTAAGATTCTGGTTTTCCTGCAGAGGTTAAAACATGCTAATGATGGTGATTATTACTCCTTAAGTCACGGATTTATGTTCAATTTAAAATGTGCTGTTGCCTGCCCTTTTAACTCTTGATTCTGTTAACTTTTGCAGTGCTCCATAAGTTTACTTGAATTGTTGGACTTCCATTTGACATACAAAAATGCAATAAAATTGAATCTATGTAGCAAACTGATCAATTTTTCCATTCTTGGCTGTTGATTAGTGAAAAACAAAGAAAAAGGCCTTTCAACGATACACAATAACCAAAAGGAAGAAGAGAGGAATAAAGTTTTAAATTTATTTATACTATTAGAAAAGGGAATGGGAAAAATGAAGTTAGATTTGGTTTATGATAACAAAATTCAAGTAAAATGCAGAAGGATAGGACAGAATGAGAGATTAAGGAAAAGAGCAGTAAGATGAGAGTTATCAAAACATTATTCTATTTGATATGAAGTAATACAAGAATAATTAAGCTACTCCTGGCTGTCAATTAATTTAATTGTTGTGATATTTAGCTTCTGTTACAGGAACATAATGCACGAGGCTAAATTGGACAGAACAGTTTGATCTAGTGTGGCAAGAATATTCCTGCTCTAGAATTAAGCAATATGATTTGTTACTATAGCTCACGTCATAATTGGCCTCTATTTTTTGCTACACATAGAAAAGGGCTCAATCATAAGTGGGTCTTACTACTTTGGACATCCCAAATCAGCATTTTTCTAATCAAATGCAAGTTGCTAAGTTTAGAAAGGATAGCAATTTAGCCCTGTTGAACATGGCTATCTCAACTCTGGACAATAAAGAACATAGCTGGGCTGTGAAAAGGGATGAAAATAATCGAGCCACTGGTCTGAAGTGTGAAAAAATACTGAACCCATTCAGACCCTGGTATGTCATGTGCAATGTGATATCAACTGAGGCAGGAACTGAAGTACAATATGTCAAATATCCATTTACGGAGCAGAAGAAAGAACTGGATGGTCATCATTATCCACTGGCATGAGCTGCTAATTGCTTGCAGGAAATGGGGTCACCCATTAGATCTCTAACAATTGGATATTCTTGGGCTTTGGCAGAAAGATGTCCATTTGGGCAAAACACTAGAAGGTGGCATGATCCAGTCAAACTATAGCCAACATAAAGAAACACTTTAGGGGAAGAGAGATGGAGTAAAACAGTGGGACAAAATAATGAACCCATACTGATAAAATTATGCACTCAGTGTTATTATTTGATAGCAATTGATAGAAATCTTCAAAAACATTACAGCAGCAAATGAATATAAGTGCAGCTGGTGTTGCAGAATTCCATTTTGATGTTTTAAGGGAACTAGATAGGAATATTTTACATAAAGGACCAGAAAGACACAGCATTCCAATAATCGTCTTTCCTAAGTCAGTTGGTCAATGCCAGTCTATGGTACGGATTTATAGTGAATCTTACCTTAAATGGCCTTGGCATGTCTGGACGCTTGTATCGCAAGTATATTAGACCAGTTACGGCCAATCCAATAAAGAGCCATCGGGCAAAGCTCAGGAAATTTAACAGACTATAAATATCACCCACAAACAGCATGAAGATAGTTAAAGGGTACTGCAAAAGATGCAAGTTTAAACAAGTTAAAGGTTGGAATATATTCAGCAAAATTCAGGATAATAGAAAATATTGTATTAGCATGTTAAGTGTAAGTTATTATTCCAGTCTTAAAATATTCTCACTGACCTTTCACATATAAAAGACCCAAAATACTCATGGGTAATATAAGCCATGTTACAACATAACATAGTTGAAGCATATTTTCAGCTTGGACAAGTTCAAGTGTCAAGGTTTATTGAGCAGTAGAAGTCACTGTTAGGTAGAATTAATCATTGCTTATTTTGTGAGCTACTTATTTTCCATACCTTATATTTGAGAATTATTATTTTTATTAATGTTACTGGATTTGAGTGACTTTTTTATTACAGCTGCAAATGTTGAGTCCTCTGGCTATTATAAATACATGACATGAAAATTACTGATAAGGTGAGTAGTGAGGTGGAAGCGTTAGACTAGATCGAGAAGGAAGGAAGATCTAGAGAGGCTTATCAGATGGGCAGAACAATGCAGGTGGAGTTTAATCCTGAACCTGTGTAGTGATACATTTTGGGAGGACACAGTGAAGTGCCAGAAGACTGGAGGGTGGCTAATGTTGTGCCATTGTTTAAGAAAGGCTGCAAGGAAAAGCCAGGGAACTAAAGACTGTTGATTGTGACGTCAGTGGTGGGTAAGTTGTTGGAGGAGATTCTGAGGGATAAGATCTACATGCACTTGGAAAGGGAAGGGCTGATTAGGGATCGTCAGCATGGCTTTGTGCATGGGAGATCATGTCTCACAAATTCATTTCAGTTTTTTGAAAAGATTACCAAGAAGATATGTGAAGGCAGAGTGGTAGACATTGTCTACACGGACTTCAGTAAGGCCTTTGGAAAGGTCCCACATGGAGGACAGGTTAGTAAGGTGACATCAATGATAGTCAATTGGATAAAAAATTGACTTGATAGCAGAAGACAGAGGTTGGTGGAAGAATTTGGACTGCAGGTCTATAACAGCGGTGTGTCACAAGAATCGGTTCTGTATTCACTACTGTCTATCATTTATATCAACAGTTTGGAAGAGAATACAGGAGGTATGGTTAGTACCTTTGCAGATGACACCAAAATTGGTGGTTTGGAGGACAATGAAGAAAGTTAGCCAAGAGTATGAAGAGATCTTGATCATATGGGTCTCTGGGCTGAGAAGTCACAGATGGAGTTTAATTTAGATAAATGCGAGATGTTGCATTTTGGAAAGACAAACCAGGGCAGGACTTGCACAGTTAGTAGTAGGGTGCAGGTACATAGTTCCTTGAAAATAGCATCGCATATAGACAGGTTAGTGAAGAAAGTATTTGGCACCCTTGCCTTCATTGGTCATTGCATTGAGTATAGGAGTTGGGACTTTTTTCCCTGGAGTGTCAGAGGCTGAAGGGTGACTTATAGAAGTTTATAAAATTATGAGGAGCACAGATAAGGTGAATAACCAAGTTGTTTTTCTGAATGGTAGGCAAGTCTAAAACTAGTAGGCATAGATTTATGGTGGGAGGGGAAAGATTTAAAAGTGACCTGAGGGTCAGTATTTTCATGCAGGGGGTGGAGCGTGTATGGAATAAGCAGCCAGAGGACGTCGTAGATGAGGATACAGTTACAACATTTCAAAGACATTTGGACATGAATAGGTACATGAATAGGGAAAGGTTTAGAGGGATATGGACCAAATGGGACTAGTTAGTTTTGGGATACCTGGTCAGGATGAACAAGTTGGGCCGAAGTGTCTCTTTCCATGCTATATGACTCTATCCTTTTCTATTGTGATCCCAGTGTTTTTAGGGATTATATTCCAACTAAAAGTGTCCTCTTCCCTTATCATTCTTGACTTTTCCTTTAGTAAAGGAACAGCTTAACGAATGCTTGCTTCCAGAGGCCCACTGTGAATTGCATTCCTATTCATCAACCAATGGTCTTTCGGAAAAAGAACATTTGGATGAGGTACAGGCCATTCAGTCCCCTTTGAGCTGTCTCTGCCATTCAATAACATTAGAACTTAACTCCATATTCCAGGATACCCTTACATAACAGAAATTTATGAGCTGAATTGAAGCCTGCCAGGGTGGACGAGTGTTGGTGTGTGTAGGTGGTTACAGAACCAAAAAATGCCAGCACGTTCAAAAATAGGAAAGAACTTATCATGTTCCACATTTACCTCGTGTATTTTACTTTTGCATGGAAAACCTCAGGGAAGGTGATGCTGTGAATAACATATGCTTAAAGTCAATTACTCCACATTCAATCTTGGATTCTAGCTGTAACTGCCAATACATGGGTTTCCTGGGCCGTTTGAAACTCATCAAGGTCAGAGCACACTTGGGATTGATGGGGACTGAGCAATGACAGTCTGTATAGTTCTTAAATATAAATGCTTTTATTTTTGCATTGGTGAAAGGCTTTTGGTCCAAGGACTCACACTGACAGTGCGCTTTGGAGGTGACTTCCAATACTTTTAATGTCATTTCTGTTAACTTGGACTTTATTGCTTTTCAGTTGCATTTCCCTGCGGCCAACTGCATGGGAGCTGCATGCGCGCCTGTAACATGGACCTCTGATCGGGGAAAATGGAGAGCTGCAGCAACAGCTGCATCTTTCTCTATCACCACTTGCCAAGATGATGGACACTGAGCCTGAGCTGATAGGGAGTGATACTTCCAACACAGTGTATACAGACAGAGGTTTCTGGTTGGCTTCCAGTGGCTCAGGAAGATCCGACTTTTACAGGAAGTCACTGCTAACATTTGCAGCCTGCTGGAATACCTTCTGCCAAATGGACCATGAGGGCATGCATTGCAAGTGGCAGTCAAGTCACTATTTGTCTCTGAATGGAGTTACTGGTTACAGAATCTGACAAGGGGCCCTCCCAGGGCACTGATATCACATTTACCAAGGCTGCCACTAACATCCCTTTCATTACTGATGATGCTTGCTGTTCTAGCTAGATTCTAAATGTGCAGGAGTCCTAGACTAAAGACACATGTGACAATCTGTGCACACTCACATCAACCAGCAATGTTCAGTGGTGTGTAACCAAAGGGTCATCATGTATGTCTCTGCAAGTTAGCCTGGAAGCTGCCATAAAACCTTCATAGTAGACTTGCCAAATCCACCACAGATACCCTCACCACCAAGAGGACTTAGTAGATAGGGTCATTGAAAGAAAGAGTTACCCTCTAAGAATGTTGTTTCTGACACCCATGAGGAACATTACCACTGATATATGGGAAAGTGGCAACTGAAGCCAGCTGAGCAAAAAACTGATCAACGAACACAGACATAATTGGGGGCGCTCTTCAGCATGCACCAGTAAGGGGTCATAGTGGTCAGCTGTACCTTGCACAATACAACCCAGCAGTAAGGACTGGAATTGTATCAGAGATAGTAGGAACTGCAGATGCTGGAGAATCTGAGATAACAAGGTGTAGAGCTGGATAAACACAGCAGGCTAAGCAGAATCAGAGGAGCAGGAAGGCTGACGTTTCGGGCCTAGACCCTTCTTCAGAAATCCTGAAGACGGGTCCAGACCTGAAACATCAGCTTTCCTGCTCCTCTGA